CACACACACACACACACACACACACACACACACACACACACACTTTTTCCCTTTCTCCTTCTCCATTGCCTCCCTTCTACCTGATCGATTCCAACATTCAATTTGTGTGCTCCATACCCCCTCCTGATCTCCCCCAACCGATTCACTTTTCCCCATCCTCTTCTCCCCTTGTCCTGAGTCCATCCCCTCTCTTTTCCCGTCTTTTGCCATCACTTTCTCTCCTCCGTTACGATCCTCATCGAGCTCCTACTCCTTTCGATACTCAATGTGGCCCCTGTGGATCTGGTATGTCCTTTCCTCTTCCTGTGTCTCTCGCTTTGTCACTTCTCATTGCCCTCCTCCATCACCTGCATATCCACATTTACCCTATCTCTCTCGTGATTGAGGCCCTTCGCCATTATCCTGCTCTCTCCTTTCCTTACAACCTGTTCCCCTCCCCCCACGCTGAGCCCCTCATCCCACCTTCCAGTTTCTACTTCCCCGCCTTGTCCGGATCCCCCTCTGGGACCTGCATGCCTTGGCTTTCTTTCTCCTGCACTTTATTGGTTCCCACATCCTCACCCTGCTTTGCTGACATTCCAACCATCTCCTCCTCTCAACCCGCATTCTGACCCAACCCCTCCCAATCCATGCTGCTCATCCACTTCTTCACAAATTGGGTTCCTGACCTACATCCTCCTCCCATTTACTTTAGAATCCTCCTTAACGTCTTTCCCCTCCACAACCTCCTTCACACCAGCAATCTTACCTTGCATACTTCACCCTATCGTGGTGACTCTCCTTCTCCTCTGTCACCGGATCCCCATCCTGACTGACCAAAATCTGACCCTCACATCCTCCTGATCCTGCATCCTGACAATCCCCCTCCCCTCCTTCTCCTGCTACTCCAGGCCCTCAAGAATTTGATGGCAACCTTCTCCTCTCACTGTTCCTCCATTTCTGGGCACAGGCCTCTCGCCTTCTCCCTGCTTGACCAGGCACTGACATCCCCCTAGTGCTCCTCCACCTGCCTCTTCACATTCACGGCATGATCTACACCTAATCTTTCCGATAGCGGCTGTGCATAGGGATAGATGGACGGATGGACGGATGGACGGATGGAGGGAGGGATGGAGGGAGGGAGGGAGCGAGGGAGGGAAGGAGGGAGAGAGAGGGTGCACTTCGCCACACCACACCTTGCAACCAATGTGTATTTCATCTATGTATCCCTTTTGAAGTTTGTCCGGTTAGGTGTAGTGCTATGTCATAACTCATTGCCACCAGATTCTGCCCCTCTTCGAAACCAGCCATCCGATAAGCAGCACATTTTCCGGTTTCTATCTGCCGTGTTCCACAAAATTTGACTGGAAAAGCGGGTAGCGTCCCGCAAATCTCTACGGGGCTGTGTTGGCACTGGCCGAGCAGGGCACCAAAAAAAGAAATCAGAGATGATGCTGATCCCGGTGAACCGCAAAAAAAAAAAAAAAAACGAAAGTTGTCCTGTGGCAGAGATAGGGCCTCACTCCATTACACAACATTCTAAAAGTATCTGGACTGTGTTTTTTATACAGATGCATTTGGACTGACCTTGAATCAGGACCATCAGCAGCACTGGACACATTCAGAATGTTGTACAATGGAGCGAGACCCGTACACTGTATACTGGGATTGGCTCCAGCCAGAAAGGAAACGAGCGCCATCAACATTGTCCATTCTGGACAGCCCTCAGAGAGAGCATGCACTTTGGCACGCCCATTTCCATGCAGCCCTGACTCTGATCAGCGCTGCCCAGAAAGGAATACGGAGGTTATCAGAGCAGAGCATGGGCTACCAGCAAACGGGTGTGTGGAAGTGCACTAACAAGACCTTATCAGGGGGAAGTATGTGGAAAATAAGTCTGCTTAAACCGCCAGTACCTTTCTCATACATCGGCCGCGGGCCCTGCGGGCAAATGCGGCCGATGTATCTGGCCGGCGCTGGAGGCCGAATCGTGCCTTCGTGTTAACCTCATGCCTTCGTTTTCCAACCGCAGAAAGGTACTTGCGGTTTAAACCACCAGTACACGGCCCCAGCCTTGCAGTCCGAAACTTGTCGCCACAAGAAAGCAAGGCCAAAACGTCAAATGCTGGGCCTGCCATTGATAAATTGGATTGGCGGTCGCTTTTTCGTTTCGTGCTTCCGGAATTTGAGGTGTCAGGCCCGCAGCCCAGGTAGCCGTGTACTGGTCCTTTAAGGACAACGGAAGCACTTGCCAAGGACCGTGGAAACAGCAGGTACTGTGGGATGAGTACAGTCCCACCACAGCAAATCGCAAGATCAATACCCCCATCACATGTATAAGTTCCCCATAATACTTCACCTCCCTCCCCCCAAAAAAACTCAATTAAGTGGCCGCACACAACACTCAAGTGATATTATGAATATGTTATAACTTGAATCCAAAAACACTGAATAAACACAAACAAAGAGTTCAAGAAAACACAGACACAAAGGTAAGACAAAACACAAACAAAACCATCAGAAAAGTACAAACAAGAAGGGTCAAGAAACACAAGCGAAAAGGTTGAGGAAACCTAAACCAGACCTCGCCCGAAAGGCTGAATGGTCAAAGATCTAATGGTAATAAACAGATCATGGGTTCGAATCCCAATAGACTCAGATGAATAACAAAATATCACAGCCCTCAGGGTCTATCCTCTTTTATAAGAAAAAGAAACACACAACACAGTTGTCTAAAGAAGTCAACACCAAAACAAAATTGTGGCACACACACACACACACACACACACACACACACACACACRCACRCACACACACACACACACACACACACACACACACACACACACACACACACACACACACACCGCAACTGGCACTCACCTTTCTGCAATTGGCAATTAACCTACAGGCAATCTTCGCAACCTCCTCATTTACAAACAGTCAACCATATCCCCTTGTAGCTGATCAGCACACAGCTGGTAAAAGTGTGCACATGGCCGTCATGGAGCTTTCCATAGGTTGTACTTCTCTGGTGATCGTATATATTTTTCTTTCTTGTACTTCTTGAGGCAACAACCTGTTGTTTTCAGGCCCTTGGGACACCACCAAGCGCACAGCCAGTCAGAAAGGATCACCTTACAGATAACAAAGTGTTGAAGATTCTGCAAAATGCATGAAACAAGGTCCTGTCCAGGGTAGAATGCAAGTCATACCTAGTGAGAACAAAACACAAGAATGTGAATCCAAAAGATACATGTCATCCAACCCAATCTCAATGTTAACTAGGGAAAAGAAAAAGGAAGTTTGACCAAGACCAGCAAAAAGAAAACGGTAATATTCCCGCTCAAGTCATGAAGCAAAACTCAAATTTGAGATGATGCCATTCATCACAACTCGAAAAGAAAATGGGATGCGACAAAGAACAGAACACGATGAAGAAAGGAGAAGAAGAGCACCAGATTGAACAGATGCCTCCTCCCTCCTTACTTCATGCCCATCATCATCATCCCCCGCTTGACTATTTAATAATATAATAATAACAATGTAAGGAGTGAATGAATGAACAACAATCAAAGTCTGGAAGATCCCCTTACTGCCAGTATACAACACCCCTTTAGCCCTCTCTCATTTCTATCTCCTCCAGGTAGTGCTGGTGGCCATGGCAGATCATTCCCTTCTGCAGGCAATGTGTTGTGGCCAACGCACTAGTATTATGCGTCTCCCTCCTTCTACACCCATGCCTGACTGACAGATGACGTCCAAGTCCAGCCTGTATCCCAAAAGGGGCCTTCATGATGCAGAGTCAACCAAGGAAGTCGAGATGAAGTCCCACTCTAGCCAAAGGTAAGGCTTCTTGACGGTTCCCTCCTTCCTCATCCTCTCACCTACTACTGGCCTCCTCCTAACTCCATATCCCAAAGGGATGTCCATAGGACAATGCACTGCTACTATGTTTTCCCGTCCTCCTACCCCCATACCTGACTGACTGATGACGTTCAAGTCCAGCCGGTACCAAAGCAGGGGCCTTCACGATGCAGCACCAACCCAGGAAGTGGAGATTAAGCCCCACCCTAGCCAAGGTAGGTGTCCTTGACAGTTCCCTCCTTCCTCCTCCTCTCCCCTGCTACTGCCCTCTTTCTAACTCCATAGCCCAATGTGGGCATCTACTATTACTCCCTCCACAGCCAGACTCTCTCCCTCTTCTCCACCTGCTATAGCCATGGACGACTTCTTCATGACCCTCAGCTCCTCCTTCCAGACAGAGCTCCACCACGTCTTCCCTATGGGAACAGCATGACTGCTGGGTGAATGACCCTTGCCTACTCATGGCACCAACATGACTCCCGGAATAACCTGGCCTACTCATTGCACCGGATACCATTGCCTCTCGGCCTCCAGTCCCTCCTCTGGCACTCATATCCACTACAGGCACATTGGGCCTACGGGTTCCCTGCCCTTTCGGCAGGAACATCAATGCAAATTGTAACCCTACCTACGGACTCCCGATACAGTCCAGGTACCATCATTGCCTACCTACTACCCAACTGGACACTAGGGGCTCTCCAAGTTGCTGGGAAATCCGTACAGTGTCCCCAGCAAATTCTATTTTTATTCCTGGCCTCCCTAGAATTACTGCTAAGTCCTCCCAGAGCTAAATTACAGTTCTATCCCTGTGTCTACAACATTTACTGGTCTACCCCTTGTCCGAGATACAGAATATACTGGCGGTTAACCCGCAACTACGCCTAGGCGTGAGTACGAATCATTCTTGCGGCACACTGCGCCTGCACACAATGCATTGGAACCCAAAAATCAGGGGTCTCCCCACAGAAAAACATGCCGGGGGTCGTACAATGCCCCAGCGTGATGCCAACAAAAAAACAAAAAAGAAGCGCATAACTTTTTGGGGGGCTGCAATTTCTTTTGAGCTGTCACGACTTCGAGCCACTTTCGGATTGGGGTGGCTCGAAGTGGAACAGATGCCAGCCCTCTCCTAGTCGTTGTCACGTCGTGCTTGCTGTCCACCAGTCTTTCCCTGCATCCAGCTGTCGTCCCGACATTGCCTTTGAGTCTCGACCTCGTCACCTTCCTCATGCAGCAGGTCCATCAAGGCGCCACAGCACAGAGGGAGCACTCACAAGGAAGAGAGGATCGTCGCGCAACTTGGTGAGTGGTTCTTCAAACTTCTTTACCTTTTGAGCTTTCGTTCTGTTCGTGATACCCCCGACCAAATCTTTTTGACCCCATGGGTGGGGTGGTTCTTCAAACTTCTTTTTCTTTTGAGCTTCACTCCCCCCCCCTCCGCAATGTTTTTGACCCCATGGGAGGTGGGGAATGCTGCCAATTGTTTTTCTTTGATTGATTGATTGGTCCATCCATCCATCCCAATCCAATCAAACAATATTCTCAATCCTTGCAACTAAGGTTCTTTGAACTCCTTTTACTTTCGATAAGTTCTTTGAACTCGTTCAGGATACAGCCCCCGCATTAGGTTCTGTCAAAGTTGTTGACCTTACGCCTCCGCATCGAATCTTTTTGACCCATGGGTTGGTTGCTGGGCAGGTGGGTGGGTGGATGTGTGGGTGTGGGGGGGGGTGAGCGGGGTGGTGGGGTGGGTTGGATGGTTAGTTGGTTGGTTGGCCAATCAATCAAGCAATCAATCTGTTCGAGTGCTCCAACTACGGTTCTCTAAAGTTCTTTTTCTTTGGAGATTACGTTCTGTTCATGATACCCCTCCCCCATCGTTTTTAACCGTTGGGGATTGGGGAAATGCTGCCAAACTTTTGATTGGATCGATTGGTTGGTTTGATGGGTGGATGAATGATGGGTGGATGAATGATGGATGGATTGGATGGATTGGATGGATGGATGGATGAATGGATGGTTGGTTGGTTGGTTGATTAATTGACTGATTGATTGATTGATTGAGCCACGCACCAACCCACCCTAGCACCCAACCCACACCCCCAAGGTCTGCCCTGACTCCGGGCGTCGGAGTCGGTCTGGCTGAACCCAACTGATGAATGTGTAAGAGTGAAGGCGTGGTGAGCTGAAGGTGATAACATGGCAACTGTTTGTTTGGGTTTGATTGATGAAATTATCATAAAGTTTCCATGAAAAATGATGGAGGTATACTGCTATGCCGGAAAGCAACATGTGGTTGTTGTCGTTGGATTGGATTCATTGCTACTTTAGTTTGTGAAAAGGTCAGAGACTCATTTCCTCGACTCCTTTAAGCATGCGTGGGACTAAGGAATGACTTCATTTGCACCTGTTTGTGTGACAGTTGCCCGTGTGCATAATTGTGCAGCTACTGCATAATTGTGTAGGTTAAGGCTTTTGTGGCATGAGGGAATGTGGGGATCTTGAACTGTTTGTTAAAGGATATAGACTTGGGTTCTTGATGGATGAGAATGTTATTCGTCATGTGGTAAACAAAAGATGACATGGGATCGAATTGTGTATGAGTTGGCCCTAGTGGTTTGCCCAGAAACAACTAAAGGTGGTGTCCAACGGTTTAGTGTGTCACACATTGAAATATAAAATCACAAGATTGTTCTATGCTTCTTAGTGGACCGTGATGAGATTCTAAATTAAGAGGCTCCTTAGGAGGTACAACGGGGAAGAGCTGGTAGTACATCGTTAGATACCTTTGTGTGTGGATCCTTTGAACCTGGCCTGGCTCCAACACATGAGAGGTCATGTGGCTTTCGCACGTCGTCTTCGACATCATGGGTGCAGGTCTGCCCGTGCTGAAGATGGCCTCCTTTCATGTGTTTGGCCGGTTGCGTTAGTAGATGCTCTCTCAACAACGGAGTAGGGCAAGGGGAGTGTCCTGTGGGAGTGGTAGACACCTAGCAAGCCTGTTGAATCCTGCTGTTTGTCACCCATGGGAACCGTGTGGAAAGCATGGTTACAATCCACTGCTCCAGCTTTCTGGAAGGCATAGGCATTTGGCAAGGGAGTTCTAAGAGAATGATCATTCAAAAAGGAGTGCACACCGGTCTGGATCCGCACGGGTTCAAATAAGGGACTAGGGACAAAGGGAGTTAAACACACTAGTTGACTGCTCACTTGAGGGATGGGAGATCAACGCCCTGTGTCCTAGTTGTGGGCAAGCCCATGAAGGCAGTTCAACCCGTATATACAACATCAACATATGAGCAAATGCCCTCACCCAATGTGCCTCTGCCACTTCATGTAAAAGCTGCCTTACATGCATCGGTAGCTCAGTGCCCATATGCCCCGAAGCATGGTGACATCCCCTTGGGTTGGAAAAGCTTGCCCGGTCGGCTCTATCCTGTCATAGGGCTGTGTAACCACGCCGCACCCAGTTGGAGTGGCAAATGCTAGTGCAGTCTCTTTGTTATTAACTCCGGGTGATACGACCGGAAGGTCTCGTGACTGCGCAGAAGGAAGAGAGAGTTGGAGGCGCAATGCATGAAGGGCAACTCGCTCGCCAACAAGTGAGAAGAAGCCAAAAAAAGTAAGCCTCTGCTTCTTTGCGCTATTCTTTTTTTCTTCATTTGCTTCCTTATACTATTCTTCTTTTCTTTCATTTGCAGAGAATGTCCCGGTTGCGAGGTGGGAAACAGCACAAGTACTTAGTTTCTAAAGGAGTAGCCCCTACCATCATTGTATCCAACAGGATTTGAAGTCCTTGGTCAAGGGCTACATGTGTGTATGATTTGGCCACCACCAACAATAAGAGTACAACATTAGTATATTAGTCTTCTTTATTCATTCTTTCCTAAGGCCCACTGTCTGATGACAACAGGAGTTACATGTGTGTACTCATGACAACAAGAGGGACATGTCTGTATCATGGGCAGAGGTCGCTGTCTGATGACAGCAGGACATAACTGTAGTGCTAGTACCCACTTTCCTTTCTTTTTCTTGAAGCCTGTGAGGCTTTCTCCCGTGCCTGCAGTCCACCCTCTGGGAGGAAAACCCACAACTCCACCTTTTCCTTTCCCATGGGTTGGCACCTTGGCATTTAAAGCTTCCTTTCCTCTATTCAGATATCGATGCCATATTCACTCCCTCTTCAATTCCCCCACCTCTCCCTCTACCCCATCCCACCTCGTGGGATCTTTTCA